TGTATATCGGATTTAACAAAACGCTGTGGCCATTTAAGTCATCACTAACTCCATGCATATGATTAATTATACAACAATTAACTTATTGATGCAAAATATACTCAATTCGCAGATGATATATAATGCATGCATATGATGCTTTGAACAATTAGTCATTTAGTACCTAAGGAAGGATATACTATATGTGTATAACTGTATATAGAAATGTCCTTTGTAAGATACTACTTTACTATATTACTAGCTCATCATCATAAAGATAAAAACAAAAAGGACATAGTAAGATATGTACTAGCTAGTGTACTCTAGCTACATGCATATAAATATATCGTAGTATACTATATACATATGGGACATGAAGTAGACACCATTAATATTAATTAAGATTTGTGACCAATTAAACCTTGTGCTTGTTTAAATTTGTGGGATGCATGTGAGACGCCGCATCCCCTTTAGAAAGCCTTTTTCTCCCTCTTTGGGTTTTGGGACCATATGTACACTAGTTGTTTTTGCTCTTGTATCCCTGGCCTCCTTCTTATATATATATTCTCTAACCCCACACTATTAGCTACACAATGCATGAATGATAAAACATCCATCTTAGGGTAAGAGGTCTTAACCTAAGCTTATATAGCTGAGCTCTCTCTTTTATCATGTGTATGCAAAGCTTGCAAGAGCAGACAGCTGACTAGGAGGGTCCCAAGCACATAAGCAGGCCCACAAGCTCAGTGTACAAGTCACTGAAAAATAAATGAATCTTTGCAATTAGGACCCTAGATGGAGGAGGAGAAGCCTATAGTTGTGGGTGTTAGGTGTGTGGATAGCTTGGCCCAATAAATTGTTATGTCTCTTTATTTATTTTTTTTTTGAAGAGCAATAAAACTTTCTTGTTAGGTCAGATTCCTTGTTTGTTGTAGTAGTAGTAGGATTCTGGTGATAGCAAAGGGAGAGCTAGCTAGCTTTTTCTTATGACAAGGTCAAAATTGAAATTTTCTTGTTAGAGGTCATGCATGGAGGGAAAGTGGTCCACAAAATCTAAGAAGGCCTAACTCATGTCTCTTTCCTCCTATGTTTGTGATGGATAGTGAACTGCATTCTAGGCTTATGTAATGTGGTTTATAGCCATCATGTTTGCCATAAAAACCAATATTATTAATGATATGGAGATTGTACATATGTTTATAGCTCACATATAACTTCTATTGTATAAAGAAATAGATCGATCTCATGCTTATCTAACATAACAAGGCTACATATAACTAATATTCTTTTAGACATCTTACATTAATTTGGCATTGTTTGGATTGGTAAAATGTTTGCCAATGCTATTATTACAAAACAAAATTAGTATATATATGGAATGTTTACTACTAGATTTGCCACATTGCACATGACGGGCTTCTTTGGAACGCAAGATTCTCAAACGCATATATAGGAAGGAAAAATGCTAGACTGAAGGTACCCTAGCATCTCAAATCATATATGTACGTTGAAAAAACAAATAAAACTGACCATTTGGATGTAGCGCAACAAAAAATGCAGAAATTAGGGGAGAGAGAAGGGGGGGTCAAAAGGTTGGAGCTCATGTTAGAATTCCTCCGAAATTTATATCTTTTGAGCCAACCGAAAAGAATTTCATAGGATATTTTGATAGTTATTCCATTGATCTAAATATAATGACCACATAGGAAAATTTTCGATGGGATTGAATTCCTCCAAGAACCCTTTGTTCCAAATTAAAGGAGCCCGATTCATGGTGTTAAACTTTACAATATATAGCTGGCTAGGATTGTGTCCCTTTTATCTTCTTAAGTATGAAACCAATGAGGTTCTTGAGAATTTGCTCGTAAAGGATCAGAACAGAGGGGATTCATATTCTCCATATGATTGGATTGTGCTGAGCGATAAGGATGGATAGATCAGTTGGAATCGATGATATAAAATATATGTGCAGGGAGATCGCGATAGGTGGTCTCAAGGACAAGAAAGTGATATATACATACATGCTTGTAATGCATCATGCAATGGTTCAAGTCATGATATATTCATCGCAAAAAGGAAAATGGCCTTGTACTATAGCAGGAAGAACTAGCATTATAGACTCAAGAACATTCAGTACTGCCACATCATTCTCCAGTGTATAGTATTAGCTAGTTACTATTTTTGTTAGTCTGCTTGCTAGCTAAATATACCAGAAAAAGGTGGATCAATGCATCAGAGGTTGAATCGAGGCTTTGAACTATTATATATATGTATGATGTGAAATATCACTGGAAATCAAGAAAATTTCATGAATAGTACACAGAGATCACGCACTAGTTTTTTCTTCTTCTTTTAGAGAGAAGGGCTGAATAATGTTTAGCAAAGTATTAACAGCAAGTTTCATTCATATAAGTATTCTTTGCAGTATCATTTATCTGTTAATTTCCCCCCCCCCATTATATTGCACACATTATAATTAAGTACTGAACATATATATGTGAGCAGCAAATTAAAAGAAAAAAAATCAAAGAGATGCCGTATTACACCATCATCAATCAAACTAAGCATGGAAGAAATCTAGCAAAAAAAAATTTTGCAACACAGACATACTCTAGTACAATTAATTAATTGCATGCATTTTTCTACAATTTTTCATACATAACATGCATATATAACAAACCAATGAACATAATTGTGCGCAAATTAACTTTGTTGCTATATATATACATGATATTCGAAATAAGAACTGATCGTATAATTTTAAAATGGTATTATACAGCATTTGTGTGTTCTTTTTCAGAATAACTTGAGCTCTTATTGTATTAATTAATAGTATTAATTATACATGATTGGTCTCAAGATAGTTAGAACATAAGATATAAAGGATTGAATGGATGTATTGCGTACAGCGAAATGGCTGTAGAAAAATTATTTAACAATGCCATGGATTTTTAGTAGGGGATGCTACAGAATATATATAACATTATATATATCCTGAGAAATATAAACCTAGCTTATCCATGAGCATGAATATACAAAACGAATGAATTGAACCATGACTAACAACAAGATCAATACATATATATGCATATAATTAAAATATTAGATGAAATTATATCATATATATAGCTAGCTTAGAATTCATTAGTATACTAAAATGCTACGAATTGTACTATAATAGAACTCAAATCAGTGATCAGAAACAGACCCAGATCGAAGGTACGTGCATATATATATGTTCTTCAGTTATATATATGCTACTCCATCTATTCCAAAATAACTTCATCTTTGATTATTTTGGGAAATGTGTTGCATTTCTTACAGTATTATATATATGCACATGCATGTAGTTTAGCGACGCACAATATACCTCTCTTTGATCGATATGTATAATTCTTTTTTTTATCGATATATAGAGTTAATGTGTATCTTGCAACAGAGTTGTGACACTCCAAGCACATTTAATGAAGTTACGCAAATTAAATCTTAATCTGAACTCCTGAAAAGCCCCTCACAATGTAGAACATATCGTATATATATATACTAATTAATCATGTGGGCAATAGTATGAATAACTAGCAACACAATACCAAAGTGTTTCAGTGCAAATGCAAACAGATAATGATGGACAATTTGAAACGCAGAAATGCACTTGATGTGTATGTACATCGTTAATCCAAACATATGCTGAACAACTGTGAATTATGCACTGCATTACAATCTCCTAGCAAGCTAGCTAGTAGCTATATTGTGTACTTGAGCTACTACGACACCCCCATATGAAAAGTTCAGTGATGATTTTCTCCATAATAAAAAGAGAATAAGTGTTCAGATGGAGTAAAAGAAACAAAGTAGAGATGAGGCTACAGCTAGATGCAGCATATGGACAGTACTATACATCACTACTGTACCACTCTACACTCTACGTATAGGCCGGCCGGGAGTGAAGCAAATTTGCATAGTTGCTGTACTGAAGGACAAGAGATCATACCAGTAACTGTTCTTTTATCCTTTCATATATTTTTTATTAAATAAAAATTGTACTCTTGTAAGAAGACAGTGCTAGCTAGCTAGTAGATACGTACAGATCGAAGAACAGAGAGATGAGAATGAAGACGAAACATGCATACACCTAGCATTAATTAGCAGAGCTAGTATAGATTCAGTTCAGACAATGTAGAGAGAGACTAATGGTTGCTTAGGCTAACTAGGTAGATTAATTTGTTAGTAAAAACCAACCATACACATTGTTGACATTCCATCATTCCATGTGACTTGTATTGGTTGGTATAATGCATTATTTTACATTTGTTTTTTTTTAATTTTTTTTGAAGGATTGCAACATGGCTCTACGTCACTTCAACATAAGAATATTAAAAACAGTAGCCTAGGAAAAGAAGGAACAGTGGTGTGACAAGGTCACTATGTACCCTAGAGAGAGGAGAGAGAGAGAGACCAATAGCTAGGCCATGACCATGAGAGAGAGATGAAAGAGAGTCCAAAGATGATGCATAGCACAAGGCAGTAGCAGCATTGTCGAGTAGATTAGCCAAAGAGAAAAAAAAAACCTACATCAATCCCAGCAAAAAAAAATGCATGGAATTTATGTACTTTCCCTTGATCTGGATCAGGAAGAAGAGAAAGAAGCTAAGGTAGGAGAAGCTGATTGCTCATCCATCCCAAGGCATGAGGCAGCAGCTGAATGTACAGAATAGCTGCTTAAAAAGAAGCAAACTACTGGTAGAAGAAAAAGAAAGAAAAACAACCGCAGGTACTACCGGGTTAAAACATGCAACAAATCATATAAAAAAACACCATCAGGTGAAGGGCCAGCTTTACCCATGCCAAAGCCAGAGAGAAGCTTCTCCCATGCACACACACACAACACATACGTACACGTACTAGTACTAGCTAAGTTAAGCTAAGCTGGAGTACTTAATTAATTACTCAAGAAATTTTAAGCATGCAGTAGTAATTAATCAACTCATCACATGCCAAAATCAACTGGGGAAAAGAAGGGATTTTAATCAAGGGGGAAAAGCAAATTAATTAATTAGAACAAGTTCGATATCATCATTGAAGCTACACTTGGTTCTTTTTTTTTCCTCTCTCTCTCTCTTTGCATTGCATTAAATTAAGTCATTAATTAATAAACTCGAAATTAATAAGCTCATCGACGACAAGCAGTAGTACTAGCTAAGCTCTAGCTAATGACATGCTCTCGATCGACCGTGCATTAGTGTTCATCGGCTGAAATAACAAATAATCTCTTAATCTCATCATCATCATCTTCTTCTTCTTGTTCTTCTTGTTGTTCGATTGATCTTGTTTTGTTGAGACGATGATGCAAATGAAACTAGCAAATTGATGATGATTTGATCATGGAAGGAAGTAGATGATGATAGGTAGCTAGGTTGCTAGGTTCTAGGGTTATGAGGGAAGAACTGGGTGCCTGCAGCGAAGGCGCCGATGGGCGTCGGGTAGGGGTCCATGAGCACCGCCGCGGACGTCGCCGCAGTCGCCGCCCCGTGGCCGCCGCCGACGCCCTCGCTGCTCCCCGCCGGCGACGATTCCTCCCTCCCCTGACCCGTCAGCTGGTGGTACTCCGCCGACGACGGCGGCAGCTGCCCCGCCGCCTCGTCCGCCGGCCCGTGGTCCCGGAGGATCCCCTTGAACGTGTGCCCGCCGATGCTCACCGCCGTCTGGTACGCCAGCTCCGCGTCCGCCTCGTCCACCGCCCCGATCCGCACGCACCGGAACACCGCCTCCACGCTCAGCTCCGGCGGGAACCTCCCGTCTCCCTCGCCTGCACACAACCATGGCGGTGTCAGCGTCAGTGTCACCATTATTGACAGTGTGGGGGTGAGAATTGGTGGTGTACCTGAGGATGTGGTGGTGGCGACCATGGCGGTGTTGGCGGAGGGCAAGCGGCCGAGGGTGCGGACGAGCTCGCGGGGGCGTTTGCTGGCGGCGGCGGCGGCGGCAGCGGCGGCGCTGTTGTTGGCGGCGGCGCCGCGGAAGAGCGCGGCGAGCTGCTGCTGGCGCTCGCGGCGCTTGGCGGCGGGGACCCAGGTGCTCTTGACGTGGGTGGCGCAGCTGAAGCCGCGGCTCCGGCAGCAGGTGCGGCACCGGAGGTGGGAGCAATCCTTCTTGGCGTTGTTGCCGCAGTCCTGGCAGCTGGTGCCCGCCCTGCCGCCGCCGGCGCCGCCGCCGGGGCCGCCCATATGCCCGCCGCCGCCGCCGCCGTCATGCGACGAGAACCCCAGCACGACGCCGGTGGCCACGCCCGAGGAGAAGAACTGCGACGTGTGCGGCACGGCGGCGGCCGCGGCCGCCGCCTGCTGCTGCGGGTGCCATAGCTGGAACCCTATCCCCCCACCCCCGCCGCCGCTGCCCGCCGTGTCGGCGGCCGCGGCGGCCGCGCCGCGCGCGTACAGGAACAGACTGTCGGCCCCTATGGCGTGATCGCCGCCGCCGCCGCGTTCGCCTCCCCTCCCCCCGCCTCCGCCGCCGCCGACTCCTCCTCCTCCGCCGCCTCCTCCTCCTCCTCCCCTCAGAGAGAATCCCGCCATGCGCCGCCCATCAAGAAACCTCGAGTGCAACACCACCTTCTCCTCTTCTTCTCCGATAAAATCTCCCCTTTAATTATTATCCCCTACACACACAAAAAAAAGGAGAAAAAAAATCAGATCTTGGCCACACAAGAAAAGGCATGGGATTGTAAGCTCTAGCTAGGTCAGAATCATAATCTTCTGCAAAGATGACACACACTTGCTACCAAACTAGAAGCCATAGATAGATCTGTAGTGAGATCATGCAAGCCATAGCCATGGAGGATGAAGAGAGAGCTAGTGAGTATGAGTGGCATGCAGTGCAGTACACTAGTATACAGTACACATCACTCCACTCTACTAGCACAAATACAGTTACTACTACCACCACCACTCACCTCTAGCTAGAATTCTCCACTTCTCTCTACAAAGATTTCCTCCTCTTCTTCTTCCTATCTTGAGAGCTTCTTGCTACTAGTTGGGGTCTAAGCAACAAGGGTTAGGAGGAAGAAGATGATGGGGGTGATTAGCTTAGGTAGCTTTTTGAGGTGGTGAGAAGGAGAGGTGGATGGGCTATATAAAGAAGAGGAGAGATGAGGAGTAGTGGGTGTAGCTGCAGCGGCAGGAGGGGAGGAATTCTAGGGCGCCGCCTGCAAACGCCGCCATGAGAGCGGCTAGCTCCGACCTTTAATTTTCTATTTATTGCTCATCTTCTCTCTCTTCTTCCTCTTCCTCCTCCTCGCAGTTGCTGCTGCTGCTTCTGCTTCTTCTCTCTCTCTCTCTCTATCTGACCTTATCTCTGTGCTGCTTGTTTCCTTGCTTCCTTCTCTGTCTAACCAACCGGATGAAAGAACAAAGATGCAAGAGAGAGAAAGTAAAAAAGGGAAGAAGAAAATGGTGGAGAGATTTTGCAATGGCTGTGGCTTTGCTTTTGCTCATCTTTGTGCCATGCCGTTTCCCGCGTAATTACCGGACCTGCCATTCGCTCTCCTGCCTGCCTTGCTTCTTGTCAAAAACAGTATGACTACTTGGCGACAAAGGACACGGCCAGGAATTTTTACTGACAGGAGAGAATACACACACACCTTTGCAGTCCTCTTCTCCTCGTCTTCGTCTTCGTCTCATCTCTGTACCCGGCCGGTCGCATGCGGCTGCTTGGGCTAATTACTCCATCCTCCATCCGTCTTTAAATAAAAAAGATAAATCTAAAATTAGATGTAATATATTATATTACAACAAAACTGAATAGATATATATCCAGATTCGTAATACTAAGATGTGTCACATCTAATATTGTTTGGTTTTTATGTGACAGAGAGAGTAGGTACTCTGATTTTGGTGTGTTTAGTTCAAGCCAAAATTGAAAGTTTAGTTGAAATTGGAACGATGTGACGAAAAAGTTAAAAGTTTGTGTGTGCATGAAAGTTTTGATGTGATGGAAAAGTTAAAAGTTTGAAGAAAAAATTTGTAACTAAACTCGGCCTTTGATGACTTTGATATGGTCTTACAAGTTGTTAATCTCTCTTCCTTGATTATTATCTCTAGCATGTAATAATAATGCTGATTGTGCAGAGAGTATACATGATGGGGATGTAAATTAATTAAACCACTGTGCATGTTTTCTTGTTTTGTTTGTTTGTTGGTTTCTTCGTCAATGTGTATATATATGTTCAGATCGTACTTAATTGTATGTTACCGTGCAAGGAAAAGTTATACTCTTACTGCCTACTGTTCCAAAAGTAATACTAACAAGTGCGATTTGGAAGCATTAATTTACAACGTTTAATTTGTTTTTATGATAAACATCAAAAGAGTACGTAGTACACATATACCAGCTATCGATCCTCTGCTACAATTCAGTATGGTCAATTCTCAAACGTATGGTACGTGGAGCCTACATGCAACAATATATTTGTGCGTACCTGCATGAAACTTAACTAGACGTATAACATTATTTATCGTGCATGTACAGATTAATAGTCATGCTGATTGAATGTGTAGGTCACGACCAACAGTTCAGTGGTACATGCATGATAGTACATGAAAAATGCTGATCGATGTTAAGGAAAATGTACGGTGCTACATACTTCTAATACAACCAGTAAATTTTGTACTTAATTATAGGCCTATAAAGATAAACTAGCATGTTAGTCCTACATATTGTTAGAACACATTACAACATAACCCTTTATTTGCAACCAGTCATTTGTAATTGTAACAGCTTAAGTAGAACCGTTTGTAATAACATATGTAAAGGTTGAATATTTAAACCATTATTTGAAACGAGCACAAGGTGGTCTGCTCCACCCCACGCGTTGGGCTCGTCCCGTAGCGGTTATGCCGCCACAACCGGCCGGTCTCCTCTCCCATCGCTTCTCCATGCTAGTGAGGAACTCGAGGCATCAGGTTGACGGGCGGAGTAGTGATGGTTGGTGATGGCGCTTGATGCCGAGAGTCTCTAGCTCCTCTTGCATGAGGACGGAAGGCGCTAGATTCGGCCACGACAACGATGGTGAGGGTTGGATCCAACTATGGCGGCTGTTGCCAGGGGCGGAGCTAGCACCAAAACTAAGGTGGTGCACTACCATTGAAAACCTAGAAAGCTTCAATCTAAACGCTATGCATTCCGGTGTTTTAAAGTGAGAAATCTTGGCTTTATGGGGGTTCCTGTGCACCATCTAAGCTGAACGTGGCTCCGACACTGGCTGTTGCTCCCTACCCGAAATCAACCAGATTCGGCAGACTACTCAACATTAGGATCTCTAGTGGCGAAGTGTGAGGAGGTAGAGGACCACAGCACAACGACTACCGTGAGGTGGAATCCTTTTCTTTTTGGCCTCTTTCCCTAGATTTTTCCTGTCACTGGAGGCTCATCGTCCAGAGTCGTTAAAGATGGGTAAGTGGAAGTGGCTCTTCGATGTGGTGTGAAATGTATTTTTAGTTCTTTAAAAGAAAGGAATGCAAATTCATTGTTCGAAGGACAACCATGTTAATTCTAAACCCGATTTGAGTTTCGTGAAATCTGGCAACAAGAGTATATCTAGTTAGAGTTTGTATTTAGACCAGGAGAGCAAAAGAGAAGGGAGTTTAGATTTAGAATGATCGAGTGAGGTTAATGTGATAAAATTATGGTGATTGATACCATTGATGGCATACCGGAGGGGGAGAAGAGGTTGGCTAGTCGATAGAGACAATTGATCGAAGAAGACAGTGTTGGGGTGAGAACCTATGGTGATGTATATGGAGAAGAAGGGAGGCGACAGTGACGTGCGAGCGAATGCTAAGAGATCCAAATTAAGGTGAGGAATGATAGAAGTAAGGTTTTTGTCACTAGATGGATGAATGTGGGTTTTTCTTTGAGAGAAATAATTGGATCCACACGACACACTAACAATACTCTCGCACCACCACAAATGCATACGCATGTCTATAGTCTACCGGATCCAGACAACCGGTCTAACAACGACTTGAGATATCTGAAAGCAATTTTTGAATGTGATATATAGTGGCCGCTTGTATATGCATACCAGAAATTAAATCAAAATATGCATAGCATTTACATGTTACATGCACACAAAATACAATGGAAATTTCGGTCGTATATTCTTTTGCAGTGATCATGATGATCTGTTGGACATTTTCATTTTGCACTAGTACCATCTCTCGCATCACTAGAGAACAGAAGAGCTAGGTGAAAACAGTCCAAAGAAAGAAAGAGACTATAGGGGAGGGAGTTCTTGCAACGCCGGCCGGGACGGCACAACAGCAGAGCTAAGTATATAGCGTGTGCACGTAGCTAGATGAGTTTAAAACCCCGAGGGAGAGAGGGTGGGGGCCATCGTGGCCGTCTAGGCACGATCGAGCGGACGGCGCATGTCTAGCCACGTGGCGGGAATCGAGGTCGTGTGTCGGGGTCCTTTCGGGCCGTGAAAGCCGCTGCCCATCCGGGCCCACCCCCACCTCTCATCTCCATTCATCTCTCCTCTTACCTTTTCGAAGGCCCATATGTCTACAGTAGCTAGCAGTAAAACATTTCAGCTCAGCATACTGCACAGTAAACAGCATTAATACTACTAGCGAAGCGGCAATCAGCAGCTGAATGGGTGAAGAGAATAAAATAGAGGTGAAATAATGGATGTGTTATAGTGAAAGAAGCTTCAGGCTGGCTTGTTGTTGGCCATGGCGTTTTTAATTGGTGTCTTGTTGTCACCATATGCTTTCCTTCCTGGCTTTCTGCTGCTGCAGCAGCTGCTGCTTGGCACGGCATTGACACCACTTGGGGGTCTAGAACCTGTCAGTGCCTCCTCTTCATTCCTCCCTCCCTCCCTCCCCTGTTGAAGGGCATATCGAAAAGCTAAAAATTCTGAGACACAACTAGTTAATAATCAATTTAATATAAATATATATATATATATATATATATATATATATATATATATATATATATATATATATATTAATTAGCTTTTAGCTTCTAATTCGTTTTCTATATTCTATAACTATAGTTTTTCAGAATCAGACGAAAAACTGAACTGTTTAAAATGTTTTTAATTCTGAGCTGTAGCTGCCAAAATTCCTCGAACATGCCCTCCGAAAGGCTGAAGGGATCATCATGCGAAGCACCCAAAGCCCAGGATCCCATATGCTTGCAAGTTGCTATCCTATCTTCCTTGTCATTCATGGTCACACAAGTTTTTTTTTCTGCTCCCATCACTTGATGAGCTAATGGCTGATAATTCGTACTTAGAAAAATGAGTAAATCAATCAAAAAACAATTTATAAATAAAATTTTTAAATCTGTGTTATTCGGTGGTTTAAAAGCTAAATTAAGCTGCCACTACAACGAAAAACTCCAAAATCAACTTAAAATTTGAATTTTGGCTATGAATGATAAATGAACTCTAATTAACATACATCTCTCTTTTTAAATTAGTACTTTACTAAACAAAAAGCATGTCCACAAACTTCCTAGCTAGCTAGTTTATTAAAACTTGGAATTCAGATATCTAAAAAAAACAAATCTAGGAACAGAAAATGGCAGTTACATGAGTATTATTTGTATGGGTATTCCTATCACATGTGCAAGCACTGGTGGAGAAACCCTTTGTAGTCCCGGTTCGTAACCCCCCTTTAGTCCCGGTTTCCAAACCGGGAGTACCAATCCGGGACTAAAGATCGCTATCTTTAGTCCCGGGTGAAATAACCGGGAGTAAAGATCGATCTTTAGTCCCGGTTGGTAACACCAACCGGGACTAAAGATCAAATATGCCCGTTACCCTTTTGAACCGGGACTAAAGATATCTTTAGTCCCGGTTGTTGAGAACAACCGGGAGTAAAGAAAAGATCTTTACTCCCGGTTGTTGAGAACAACCGGGACTAAAGATATCTTGATATCTTTAGTCCCGGTTGTTGAGAACAACCGGGAGTAAAGAAAAGATATTTACTTCCGGTTGTTCTCAACAACCGGGACTAAAGATATCTTTAGTCCCGGTTGTTCTCAACAACCGGGAGTAAATATCTTTTCCCGCTATTTCGAAATTCTTTTTAAACCCGGTTAGGGTTAAGAACCGGGACTAAAGATTATAGCACTGCATATGATTTTCGCTTACATATGTGTTTATAAAATAGAAGTTAATGCATTAACATTATTTAAAGTACAAAGATTAATGACAATTACTTCGAAAAATTATTTTTGGCTGTAATAAATTAATTGGATAAATCGTAATAAGCAAATATATGACTTATAATTAATAAAAATTCCAATATATATATATTCTTAGCATATATATGAATGATATTATCATATTGGTAAAAACTCTAATTAAGATATTAATGTACATACTGCATGATTTAAAATTAATAAAAATTGTAATCATCATATGTACTTAGCGTAGGAATTATATTAAATTAAATGCTA